TTTTTTTTCGAATGTGCAATGTTTCGCTAATAAACGAAAAGTAGAAATGACCGTGGCATCAGAAGCGTTATCTTTGCTGCCCTAAAGTCTTTGCTCTGACTAATAGACAATTGATGAAAAGAACACTGTTTCCCACAATTTATACTTATCATGCAATTTTTTGCTGTGTAATGACCTTTTCGTGACAATTTTTCCTTTAATATTTCATCTCCCAAGACCAAGTCAGCTCGTGCTATCAGTGTGGGTATCCTCTGTTAGTGATTTCACTAAGATGCTCCCTCTCGTCGAGTGCAATTATGCCGGACCGTTCGATCCTGGGCTGCACGCCATTAATATCTTTGTTCCACACTTGATCGAACTTATGTCACTGATGAAAACCCTCCAAAACCAATTTTCATTCAGACTCAGATTCCTAATTCTCCAGCTGCAGAATAAATGGCCCTATAGACTCGCGCGCAACGAAGATGCGTATTTATCCATGAGAAAGAGCTTGCTTGTTAATTGAGCACTGACTGGAATAAATATTGAAAATGCTCAAATACGAAAGTATTTTGAAATCGCGAGCGTATAATTCAATTGGAAATGCACGCAATTCAGCAACTCGCCCTTGAACTTCAATATATATGTATAAGAGGTTATTCGTGGCCTGCTTCTCGGGCGGCAGCAGCATCATCAGTGTATTGTTATTATCAAACTTCGTCTCTTTCGTTGAAGGATGCATCCCGACAACAACGCCAACAACCACGACCACACCCCGTACGTTGCTCATTACGCCTTCATTCTTTTTTTTTTTATTTTTTTGCATTTACGCAAACAAAAAAGTGTAAACTAATGATACCGATTTGTCTGTATGTGTGTGTGTGTGTGTGTGTGTGTTTGTGTTGCTCCACTGTAAGGCATTTTCAGCCCCATATCTGCATAAGCCATTTGCCCGCTACTACCTCAGATCCTTAATTATGCGTTTTTTCATGTATACAAATGCAACCCAGGTAGAAACGCATCAAGCTTGCTGGTGCGATCATTTGCCTTTGTACCAGACCTGAAGCACTCTGGTCATTAACTGCATGAATGTTGTTGACTTGCGTCTACTTTTTGCGCTCACTAGTGTAAATCATCATGAATTTTGCATAAAGTAAATAAACAATTTCCATTTAACGGTAGCTCTTTGAAAGTAACTTAGCTGTTCAGGCGAAATTTTCTCTCCAAAACTTTTAATTGTCTATACTGAGAACCGCGCTTACTTGAAGGATGAATTTGGAATATTTGAGTTGTATTTGGACTGGGAACTTGCCCCTGAAATATCAACTTTCTAGCTTTTCTGTTTCGCGAGTTAGTAAATTTCCAGCCAAAAATTTCACATGCCCGTACGTAGGTGTCCCAGATACCTGAAAAGCTGAATTTGAAATCTTTGAATGGCATGTGGACAAGGAACATCCCCTTAAAATTTTAGCCTTCCAGCTTTTCTGGTTTCCGAGTTAGCAATTTTCTCGCCAAAAGTTTCACATGCCCGTACGTTAGAACCACGCATACCTGAGGACTGGATTTGAAATATTTAAGCTGTTCTTGGACAGGGGACGTCCCTCCAAAATGTCAGCTTTCTAGCTTTTCTGGTTCCGGAGTTAGCAATTTTCCTCCCAAAACTTTTATACACCCTTACTTGAGTACCATGCATATTTGGAGGCTAAATTTGAAATCTTTAGCTAACACATGCACAGGGAATACCCCTACAAAGTTTCAGCCCTCATCTTGTCTGGTTCTCGAGATCGCTTCCCGCCAAAAAAGTTTGCAAATTTTTTTAAAGCGTCCGTACACGGCACCCAGACGTCCGCGGGGGATGAAATTAAAACGGAAGGGTTGCGCATGGTATAGGCATATACTCCCAAAGTTTCAGCCTTCTAGTTTTTCTGGTTCTCGAGTTGAAAGTGGATGACAGCCTCTTCCCAATGTGCGTTTTTGCAGTTTGCAAAAACGCATAAAAAAAAAAACGCATATTCTGGCGTCTCTTGTTTGTACGTGTATTATGTGTGTGTGTGCCTGTCCCCGGTATTTCAACTCGACAACCAAGCAAGCTCCAGCGCCTGAGTTTAGCCAGTGAGTTTCCCGGCAAAGTGACTCCCCAGGACCGCGTTACCAACCTTCACCCAAATCTGTGCCCTGCGTACGACCGCATGGAAGTTTTGGCGGGAAAATCGCTGACTCCAGAGCTAGAAAAGCTAGAAAGCTGAAGTTCCGGAGTTATGTTTCCCGTCCACACAGAACTCCAGGATTTCAAATCCAGTCCTCAAATGTGCGTGATTTCCACGTACGGCCCCGTGGGACTTTTGGCTGAAAATTCGCTAAATTGGTAACCAGAAAACTGGAAGACTGAAATTTTAAGGGAATGTCCCCAGTCTATGTACAAATTAACGGTTTTAAATTCATCTCTAGGTATGCGCGGTCCATACGTGAATGTTTTCAGCGGGAAAGTCGTCAACTCAGGGACAAGGAAAATTGGGGGGCTGAAATTTAAAGGAGATGTCTCCAGCCTAGCACAACTATGAGGATGTCAAATCCTGCTCCTGGTGTGCGTGGTTCTCACGTACGGACCCATGAAATTTTTTGGCGGGAAAATTGTTAATTCGGAAACAAGAAAAGTTGGGAAACTGAGATATTAAGGGGATGTTCCCAACCCACGTGCAACTTAAAGCAAATTCAGCCCCTAGTTTTACGTGGTTCTCAAGTATGGCCCTGCGAGAAGTTTTTGGCAAGAAAATTGCTAACTTGAGGAATAGAAGAGACGAAAAGCTGAAATTTTGATGCGATGTTCCCTAACCAAGTACCATGTAGTTGCACGATCAAATTCCTGAGCTTTGAGGAGCAGTATGCCATAAATTCTACCCACTGAGGCTCCAAGCTATCTTGCAACAGCACAAAATATTGCAAAAATGCGTGAGATTGTACTGGCCCGCCCAGTGCGCGCCGCCGTGACTCCAGCCTTGTAATTTTACCGTATCTTAAGCTATAGCCATAGGCAAATGCAGTGCACATTTGCAGTCGCACTTCAAATTTGCATCAGGAGCAGACTGAGCAATTTGTGTATGCAAATTTACACTGAAGGAGAGGATTGCGTAAAATGCTTTATACAGTTCTGCCTTTACAAGAGTTCAACAAAACAAAATAAGGACAACAGCCAGTGTGTTCTGTGAATTCGATTAATAAGATTGGTGCCATCAGAAACTGAGG